TTGATATTCAATCAGGGGGATGAGGGGGAAGAAATATGGTAAAAAAAAAGCGCAAGACATACATTCACAGCCAACTTTCTCGCCGTTAGATCTCCCAGCTTTCAGCCCGACCCTTGACCCATTGACTACCAACGGCTCGGTTCTTTTTGGGGAATCAGCCTCACTAGATCCTGGAGAGAGGCTAATCGATCCTGTGGGCGACTTCCGATCTGTTGACAAAGGTGCCGTCACCGCTGTCACGTCATTCGCGTTTCCATTTCCAATCCCTGTTCCGGCTTCCACTCTACTTCCACTCTCATTGGTGTTTTTGTTTCTAGCAAGTCGATAAGGCGTGAATACCGCCCCATTTCCACTACCACTGCTGCCTCCTCCATTGTCTCGGTCAATTCGTACTCGAATTCTGGAACCTTTGAAATATGCATTGTCAAATAGCGTGACAGCTCTTCGAGCCTCTTCCTTGGTTCGAAATGTAGCAGTTGCATAAGCCCTCGGGTGGCGACCTCCCCCTTTACGATCTTCGCGAATATCGCATCGCTCCACAGTACCAGCCGTCCGGAGATAGTCCTTCAAATTCTGCCAGGTTGTATCGATGGCAAGGTTCTGTATGCAAATGCTGCATGAAAAATTCACAACTGAATCCTGGCGAAAATTGTAAAAGCTGTTACTGTTGCTAGTTTGTCGAGGCATGTTAACACTATTCAGTTCATAATGGGGCTGTGGGAAGCACATTGCCGTGGAGTATCTGTGGATTGCAACAGCTGAGGGTTCGAATTGCTGGCTCAGAATTGTCGTTGGCATCGGGAAATGAACATCGCTGGGATAAATCAATGGAAATTGGTAACCTAGGGAGTCTGTCGTAAGGGGAACGAGCTGATGCTGATGCTGGCAAGGAGGGTTTAAGTGGTTGACGAAATGGGCAAATTCTGATGATGTTGCGTAAGACGGAGGGGGGGAGAAGTTCCCTGTGCCTGTTTGTGAGCCCATACGCATTTGAAACATAGAGGGGACAAAGGCAGTTGAGTTTCTAAGGTCATACTTACTCAGGGGGCATAGTTCTCGTCGGGGAGGAGATAAGTGGTGGGCAACTTGGAGGACTCGAATATCCACCAGCAGCATATGGCATTCGGCTTGGAGGTTGACTCTTGGTCGGTCCAGCAATGGGTTTGGTCGGCGCACTTGCGAGCGATAGTGTTACCGTCAAGCTATTACCATTCCACCCGTTCGTTGACAGCCTGTCTATCGCGTTGGTTAGAAAATACGGTTTGACGGGATATTGCCGCTAAATACTTACTATAAGTGCGCCACGCTTCATCTTCATTTTTCACTATGATTTGGCCAAGTCCAGTTGGATGCCCGTGACAATCATCGTAAACTACAGCCTGCCGTATGTGCAGAGCAGTCTGGCGGACAAGATCTTTCAGTTCCTGCCATCGACATTGAGGCGGGATCTGCACAGAAATGGGGATCCATAGTCAACGCTTCATCCTCAACAATCAAATGAACAATGGCATTGACACTGAGGAACAGAGAACAGATAAACTTACACCTTGAATAAATACGACATATTCTTCATCTGTTGACCGAGAATTCCTCCGGCCATCTCGTTGTCTTGGTGACATTGGCATGATTTTCCGTGGAAGTTAAGGGAAATCCAGACCTGTTTGCACAGCAATATTAATTTCTTTTTTTCCCCAATACAGCAAAGGAAGGATATATTTAGATCAGGAGCAAAGGAGGCAGGTCCCTGGGTGTTTGGTTTAGGGCATACCTTCTGTGGGAATATAAAGCTCCAGACGATCGCAAAAAATGTACAAAATTTGCCCCGAAAATCAGAATATTTTGACCCACCATATATATTTATTCCAGTTCCCGACGCTGGCGCCCTTCGACCCGCGAGTCCAAAGGGTAGAACAGGGCGGGGAGAGAGGAAGATGCGCTCATGAACAGGAAGAGAAAGTCGAAACTTAGCGGCACAAGATGTAAATCCCAGATAGAGAGTATAGACCTAAGGGAAGAACAATGCAACAAATAAAATATAATGCACCGATGGGAGATATATTAGGGCCAAGGATGATTGTTTCGGAATATCAGTGAGTACGAGCAGGTCATAAAATGTTTGTCAAAACGTCAGGAAATGGCTGCAGAAAGATGGAGCTACCCCACGAAATGTATATAAAAAGGCTCAAAAGATCGGTATTATGGAGAGGAAGATCTTTTCCAGGGAGGGACCTGTCCTCGGTGTTATCGCGGATCGCAGGCCGGCGTCCCTTCAAGATCAGGATAATTCAAATACCCACTGGAAAATGAGAGTATTGAGTGGGAATGGCGGGACTGATTGGCAGCAGCCACAGTGCGTCTATCGTCGAATTACAGCCAGCTGAATATTATTCGAAAAATAAGGCAACCATCACCAACTTTGAACCCTCTTTCGTACATCGAGGAGTCAGTTCATTAGATAGCTATTCCGGAGAAAATATCTATGATCATCATTCCAAGGTGGCGCCCAACAGCGGTGTCTAGGCATGAATAGGGTCTAGGAGTGAGCTGAGGTATGAAATAATAATAAGTAACAGACTAGGAGATGGGCAAATATCAGTATCACATCTTACTGTATTGGATGCACAAACACTTATCATTCGGGGAATCCGTTTTTGCAGCCACATTAGCAATTCCGCACAATTCCATTACGTGCGGAGGCATTTTGCAGCGTTACCAATTCCCGATGCCTGACAGGAACGGAAGTTAGGACGAATGAGGAGGAGTCACACCACTGGCAAGTATGTGGCCTGTCATTGGTTATGCAGTAGCCAAAACTGGAAGAAGTTCATCCTGAACACCCAACTACAAAAATAAGACAAGACTGAAAAAGCAAGAAAGAAAAAAGAAAAGAAAAAGAAATCACGCCTGTCCACAAGTTTCTCGTAGGCGCTAAAGGAGAGATCTGGACGACCATTTTGACAAACATTCAAAGCTAGTTCTCTCACGATGGAGGAGAAGCTGTCAGTCTATTTTGAGCCTTGGGCATCGTGTAGATGATGAATATGAATCATCAGACAGTGACTTAACAGAGCTTGAATCTATTGATACTCCTTCGGAATTCGAGGTCACCGATACTGATACCGATACCCCGCGAGCTTGTTCACGATCAAACCGCCGTGGCCCACAGCACCTGCCTACAATGCCTTATAACCGGCAGAAAAGACGGTCAAAATTATCTCGCGTTGTCAGAACATTACAGCGAAACAGTTGGGGAATGGAGGCCTTTATAGAGGCTTGGATTCAGAGTCCCGATATCTTGACTCATCGACGATACAGTACTCCTACGAAGCGGCGAAATGCACTATATTCAGCACTTTCCAAAGCAGGGGTATTCAATGATAAAACAGGTATCCATTTCCTTAGATCTGGGTCGTACTGCTGCTCTAGGCGGATGCTGTTCTGGAACCCTGAAAGTGGCTGAAAAATTAATGGGATGAAATAGATCTTAGATCATAAACCGATGATCTAGTGATTTTTATTTTGTTTTGTTTTGTTTTGTTTTTGTTTTTGGGTGGGACGATCTTCTGCGAAGCCCTTGGTTAGCCAAGGTTCATCTGTTGGCACTGCTGTGCGCCATCCGAACGCAGTGCATATGAGCTGTCTAATACACGTACGGTCGGTGCCGCAAACATATCCATGGGTGACCTTACTTCTGCTCCCTCCGCCCTTTTTGGAAGTGCTTAAAATGGGTTGTGGGAAGCACAACGTTGATTTCTGGGGCAAAATTGCCTATCCACAATGGAAAGCCCTAAGGGGGAGGACACTAATCCAGGGGAAAACATGGAAGAGCAATTCGAAAAGAGTGAAAAAAAGAAAAAGAAAAACAATATGTCTCGAAGTTATCTGAGAAACTGACACTGGTGATTCGTAGAAATCATTACCCGGAAATCGGGCTTCCCCAGCGCGGCTGCTGCAGAAACTAGGATTAACGAATAGAGCGAATCAACGTCTTAACCAGCAGGCCTGGGCAATGGCTCAAGGGATATGTCCATCATGATGCAGAAATGTCTTCCGAGGCTGGATAATCAACGCAACTCCAGGTGCATATGCAAGTAGCATTGCCGGACGGGGTCATCGGCATGCGAGACTTTAATGTCAGGGCGTGAATGAACATGAGCACTGATGATTATTATCTCCCACCTTGATATGTCAAGTTGTCAGCATATTGTTAGCGCGTGTACGGAGTATTAAGGCTAGCAGCATGGGCCTCCTAGCACCTCGCCTCTAAGATAATCGGAAATTTGGGAAGAAAACAAAGACTGACAGCTGTGATTGCAGAGTGCTCTTGTCCATCTTGTTGCCAGTTAGTTGCCCTCACTAGGTCTCTCGCGGCGTGTGGCAATGAAGCGGTTCTGCAGCAGCTTTGCGCCGCAAGGAGCTGAGTACATCACTGAAGAATCGTGGACAGCCCATGTAGGTACTCCGTAGTCAGATGTATGCTCCATCTTGCCACTGTGCAGGCCCGATGTGGCTGGCTGTTTTGGTGGGGGAACTGTGAGGTACGAAAAGTGACGAGTCATTTTTGGACCAGGCGGCGCTCAAGTTCGCAGGTTCCTTGGCTATTGTTTTTCAGATGTAGGTCATTCTTGTCCCAATACCCAAGCGGTTGGAAATAACCCCCAGTGTGCAAAAGTCTCGATTTCCTCTCCAATTGCAATATCTCGAAGGGACTGAAGATCATTCATTTCATCTCGTCTATCTGGTAATCGTGCCGCGTTCCACTTTATTTTTCTCCCTGATTTCCTCCTCCTCAGGCAATAATTTGCGGTTTGTATGTACAATAAAATGCTAATTTTTATATTTTCCACAGGCCAAATCCTAGTATTTTTTTATCTCTCCTCATAATGGATATACATGTACGGAGTACATACTATTTCTTTCGACACCCAGCAACAGACTTTCCTATCTGTGCTGGGCTCCCCAATAACGGACTGGAAAAAGCTACCACCAATGCTCAGACGGAAAGATGATGCGATACAATAGCTATCCTAGCTGGCAATCCATGGGTCTATCCCAGACCAATTGCCTTAACCCCGCTTGGTCCTGAGCCTTCCCCACTGAGCGTTCCGCTATTTGATGTATGATGGGCCCGCTCCTCACCATAGCCTGAGCGTTGACAAACTGCTATCATTGGACTTGGGAGGAACCTCCGCTTGAACTGAAACGACGCCAAATGTAGATCTCCGGATCCTCATTGCTGGGCTCGGAGCTCGGGGTGTCCACCGGCCTTTGAATTCTACATAGTGAGGAATAAGGCGCGCTTCCAAATCTGTTCTATGAGGAGTGCAAGTGGAACCCTCAGTACTGGCGATATTAACTCTATATCTCCATATCTCATGGACAATAATGCTCGTCGTCGCTGGTTCTTACATGTTTCTTTTTTTCTACCGCGCCCAATATCAGATGGAGGTCATTCGAGGAAATCGGAATATGTTGGTCAATTCTATTTCATACCCTCTGCTAGCTAGATAATAGAAGAAATGTCATGGAATAGACGCTTATGCCTGCATACTGTCAGTTAAATCCCTATCTATATACCGCAGGCGCTCTTGATATCCTCTAAGCGGCTTGCTATGCTCTAAAAACTCGAAAATGCACTCATCACATGCCACCCACAATTATTTATGAGACCGTCTACTCTGAACAAAGAAATAATATCATTCGTTCTACGAGAATAGAAATGGGCTTAGAGGGTCATAATATTCCCACTTCTAACTACTCACATATCTTAGCAAGAGCTTCCGTCGCGCAAGTTACCAACTATGCTAGAGAGCAGGGAACACACATCGCTTAATCTCGCTCTTCTCTTAAGAATTCATCACCGCTTTACCTTCTCCCACAACTAACTATTTAGCCGCACCTCCTTCCCCTTCCCGCCCCCAAACAAATACCCCCACACACCCCAGCAGCGGAGAAGAAGGTTGTAACAAGTGCGACTCGATTCTCATTATACAGCAGTACTGCTGATGAGTGAACCGTCCACTCACAAACCACGATTTAGCGATGCATTTTTAACGAACGGCTACACGAACGGCTACCAGTTACGGTCGAGGGGCAGGTCCTTTACACACCACTATTACTTGTAGCGATATAATCGATTCGATCATTTTTGACACAGTAAAAATCACATCAAGACAGCCACCTCCACGAACCCCCTCTTAATATACAATCTAGACTACAGCCCTAATTTCTTCGATATACGCCCCCAGCTTCTTCCCCTTTCGTGCTCTAAGAAAAATGCCAACACCGTTCACTTCAAAGCCGCATACATACCTACCAAGCAGGCAGCTAACGGGAACAAGCTTCGCATCCCGTTAAGCCCAATCCACTGGACGCAAAAACGCTCCGTCTCCGCCCTCGCCCCCACCT